GCAATAAAGCAACACTCCCGTTCTCTCTCCCTCTTCTTCTTCCTCTTTCTTCCTCTCCTTCATTATTTTCTTTTCTTCCTTTCTCTTTTTCTTTCTTTTTCTTTTACTTTTTTTCCTTTTAAAAAAAAGTTCTTTAAAAAATAAAATAAATAAAAATAAAAACCATATCCAAACCAAAAGAAAATAAAGATGCATTAAATAAATTAACTTGGGTATGAAGAAACACTTTCTAAGCCTAACAAAATGATTTTTAAAAGTAAAGAAAATATTTGATAGATTTTACCAAATAATCAAAACATGGTAAAATTTCTTAGGTAAGTTGGTAACCATTATTATATAACAAATGAGGGGTTACGTTGAAACTCAAATACAAGTACTTTGGTCAGACTTTCTACTCTCTTGAATCTATACGCTAAGCTAATGGAATAAAGGGTATTCCAAGATTGATACCTTTGATGCATGGCAAAACAAATATCAAAGTGCAACTCATCTAAATCTAATGATGCAAAAGGGACAGCAACACAACTAAAATAATGTAGGAATGGTTTTTAAAAATATCATTATAGATACAAAAAGTAAAAAATAAATAAATTCAAATGTAACTCTGCAGTGTACGTTTTAATATCTTCATAAGCAAATGGTTCTCTTGAAAAATAAAATGTACAAAAATTCACTTCGCAAAGGAAACAGCATAAATAGGCCAATAATTATTCAAGAAATATGAAAAGATTTTAAAGTATTACCTCACTAAAAGTAATTTCTAAAAAATTACAGATATGTATTAAATATCTTATAATATCCAAACCGATGAAATAAAGGGAAAAATTGCTGGCACCACATCTTTAAGCAGATGAAACAAATGAGATCTAGCATGTAATTTGAGAGGTATCAGGTTTAAATAAGAGACAAGCTTTGTTTGCCAGTAATTCTAAATATTTTCCCTAATGAATAATCAAAGGTAGGAACAAAGATCAGGTATAAAACCATCTTTATAGGGCAATTTAAAATAACATAGAAATTAAAAACTTTTTAAAGATCTGCTATACTCACTATGAAATATCTTCCTGCCATTTAACATTATTTTTCTGAGAATAAAGAAAGAAAATGTTTTTTCTACTTTTGGTGAAAGTATAATTAAATTACATATATGTTAATGATTTTGTTATTTCTATAGTACAAAATTATTCTATTCTGTAACAAAAAAAAGATACCTACTAATTTCTTCTTTAAAATTACCCAGAATGAGGGTTTTAGACAAGTGGGTAATCTGCTAACAAAAGAATTTTTTAAATGAATTCCTTTATAATTTTTTATTTAGTTTGACTAAAATTCTTTACATAAAAATATATCTGTTAATTTTGGTACTACTTGAATAGAAGTTTAAATGAAATTACAATACGATCTGTTCTCCTGTGCCTTTTCTAAATTTTTTTTGAAATTTTCTAAATCCCAATATTCATGGGATATTTACCAGCCTAAAATGTGATTTGAAGTCTGAATTCAAACTTCTAAGTGTAAATTTTCATCAAAAACATTTCAAAGTAATATAAAGTCAATAATTCAATTTAATTAATTAGTACTAATCACACGCATGCATCAATTTCTAGTTTACAAAATCACAGCCAAATAAATGTTTTATTAAAATATTGTTGACTTTAATTAAGAAGGCATTAATCCATAGTAATAAAAAATAAGAATCTCAATTTTTAAATTTAGAACTGAAAATAAGTAATAAACTATTTTGGAATCACACATACAGTGTGATTCCAATTCTCGACATGCTCTGGATTTATACATGTTAATATTTTTTCTCACTTATATTATCCTACCCAATTCTGCTGTTAAAAATTCTCTCTGAAACTAATTCCTAATTGACATTTTTCAAGCGATTATATAACCTGCAAAAAATAAAAATAACACCCATAAAGTGAATTGTGTTATTGAACTTCAATTAATTTCAGTGGAATTTTTGCTTTTTTAAGAGTTATATCTTTAAATATTTTTCTAACATTTAGATGAAGGATTTTATAATGTTAAATTCATTTAAGTTTCTTCTACCTAGCTTTTAAAAATATTCTCACATAGTCACTGTCTAAATATCAGAAAATCAATATATTTGAAGTAAACAAAAAGTCAGTATATTTGACTCAATCATTGTATTTGAAGCCTTGCCTAAATCTTAAATATACATATATTTTTTGGTCAGAAGACTAATTCAATATGAACAAAAGAATATGAATGAAACAATAAAATTTATTGTTATCTTAAATGAATATATACATATTATTTTCACTGAGGAAATATATATCCCAATGAGGAAATGTTTATGTCTAGATAAATATTAGTGATTTATGAAAAGAAAATCCTGATTTTTCCATTTTGTTAATTTATTCAATAAACATTTATTAATATACTGTTAGGTGCCAGATTCTGTGGGTGAAACTTGAATAATATACAATTAAATAAATCATTGCCTTCATGAATCTCAGATTTTAATAGTGAGATTTCTCTGTTGAAATCATAAGTAAACATTTACAGATTAATAAATCTAAAATTGTATACACATTTTCTCCTTAGCTTTTATTAGATCTTCAAAAAGGTCAATGACAGTAATCCAATAAATATCAATAACGAGAAGGAGGAAAAATGACAAACAGGTTAGCTAGTAATTGAAAAAAAAATAGGCAAAGTAAGATATATTCCAAAAGCAACTCTGATCTTCCTCCACCCACCAAAACTGAGAAGTGAACTAATTCTACCTGGGGAACTCAAGAGAGAATTCACAAAAGAATGAAAATAACAAGCCGACATTATAATTGTGGGTGTACAATTTAAGAAAGCTCCAGTTTTTCAAAATATAATTGTATGAACCACCAACACTGGATAGTTTGGGATCCTTTGTGGACATAAGACATAAAAAATGTATAACTATCTCAATGGCAGAAGTCATATATTTAAGTATTTTTCACGTACAACTGAATTGCAATTCTAAATCTATATCAGGCATTACTAGAATTATCTTTTTCTGTAAAAAAAAAAAGTAAAATGTTTAAGACAAACATGTTTTTAAGAGTCACCAACTTAAACTTACTAGTGTTAATAATAAAGAGACCTAGTAATTTACCAACCTATTAACTTAAAAGTAACATCTTTAAAGATGGAAAATTGTGAATAAAGTATTTATTTAAAAAGGTTTCAATTATCAATGAAAATAAATTGGTGTTGAGAAGACAAAAAAAATTACAGACTCAGTTCTCAACAGAAAAATTATATTGAAGTTCAGTAATATTAGTCTGAAATTTCAAGAATACCTTAATAAACAACACTATAAAACCCATAAATGTTTACTCGGACATAGGAAATAATTTTGCATAATAAATGCCTATCATAAAGTATAAATATAACATATTAAACATATAAAATCTTAAGAAAGAAAATGCAAGAATGTCTTAAATACTAGAAAGACTAGTGGGAACACCCTTTATGAAGATACTATCACAAAATGAAAAATGATACTATTAGATTGGCTGACATTTATTATTTGTGGATACCATTAAATTGAGTTTTATTAAAGGAGAGAAATTGTTTAACTGAAGTTGTAATATAATTTAATGTTGTCAAACTATGAACAACTAAAATACCTAACTTGTCAAGACCGATAGCTTATTAATCAATATTTACTTTAAGATCTTCTCTTACTGTGCCCATCAATCTAAGGTAAAAAAACTTGATAAACTTTGCACAGTCCTCATCAGTTCCCCATTTACAAGAGTTGCCTTAAATCACCTAGCATAGATCCTAAGACCTTATTAATACCCTCCTTGACTTACACCTTCTGAAACAGTAGGAAGACTCTCTAGAGATTCTCCCTTTCTGAAGTAAGTTTAATGAAATTAGCTTTGCTTAATCAGCAGGGGTTGTCTTTTTGGAGGAATCAACAGTTAACAAAGTAACAACTCTTCGATTACTCATTTTAATTTCTTTTATTTTCTGATATTATATTATGAACATGCCTTCGATGGAATGCTGATAAGTATTTAGCCTGTGACATTTGTTTTTATTTATTTACTTATTTTATTATTATTATTATTATCGTTATTATTATTTTCTGAGAAGGAGTCTTGCTCTGTCATCCAGGCTGCAGTGGAGTGGCATGATCTCAGCTTACTGCAACCTCTACCTCCAGATTCAAAGATTCTTCTGCCCTAGCCTCCCAAGTAGCTGAGATTACAGGTACATGCCACCATACCTGGCTAATTTTTATATTTTCAGTAGATACAGGGTTTCATCATGTTGGCCAGGCTGATCTCGAACTCCTGACCTCAAGTATCCACTTACCTCAGCTTCCCAAGGTGCTGGGATTACAGGCATGAGCCACTGTGCCTGACCTTAGATTGTGACATTTTAAATAAGGAGAAGAACATACGTTCAATATAAATGGACTTGTCATTAACCCCGAAAAGCAATATTCATTTTGGTTTGCACTCGGAATTAACTCTTACATTAATTTTTACAAATTACTATAAAAAATTTCATTTTCAATAGTTAGTAAGGTGGGAATGGGGAGCCTATTTCATTCTAATTCTCAAAAGGGTAATAATAGGCTATTGTGAACAGTTTCTAAAATTCAACAGGTTATGATCAGAAGGTCCAGAAATTAAAAGATACCTTTATTTAATATGAACTTAAATACAGCACCCATGTTCATTAAAAGAAAATAAAAGATGAACACACGATTTTAGTGGATCCGCAGGGCTTTCTTTTGAGCTCTCTGATAATTATTTCAATATATACTAAGAGATTTCAATGTATGTATTCAAACAAGTATGTAAACAAGTAAATTTTAAAATGTATAGGAATATAAATAAATTATATATATATAAATACTGTAGAGCATATTTAGAAATAGAAAAGTTGTTTAAATAATTCTTAAATTCTTAATTCTTTTTAAATGTCAGACTACATCTTTAAAACTCTCTTCTTTAGTCAAAATATTTTCGTTAATCAGCAATATGAATAAAATATATCGAACAGACTTTAATATATAAATTTGTAGTACTTTCTGGAAAATATTCTGTTCTTGTGTCATTGATAAGAAAGAAATACTGACAAACCTCATACGTTGCTGGGCCTGGAGTAATCTCTCTGGACTCTACAAAGCGCTTTGATGCTTTCGTAAATAAGGGTATGGGGCAAGATTTCCTTAAAACGGGATTGTATGATGCAGGACCTGAAAGAAAACAAATGTAAAAATTATAATTAAATGTGTTGTAAAATTATTGATTTTGGTCATATGGATATAGTAAGTTCAGGTTCTTAATGTATAAAATTAGCAACAAACAATTTTGGACCCATTTTTTTGAATGCTTAAAATCATTTGGTTTACATCTTTGAAATATGATAGGTGTAAAATAGTGACATCTGTTTACCAAATAATTACAGTACAGCAATAATTTCCAAATAAGAGAAAACAGTACTCCCTCAAGATATTTATACATCATGAATGAAGATGGTTCACTCTTATATACTAAATATTCATTCACATGTTCAGTGAGGAATTAGTGCTTGAGCTACATTTGTAAATATAAATAGGATTTAAAGAAGCAGAAAGGTGTTTTAGTAGCATTCTGGGCACTAAACATTATGGAAATCAAGACATGAAGATGGAATGTATATGAAGCAATTGGATGTAGTAAACACGTTGTTTGCATGGAACAGGGCCTAATCCTAAATAAGGATTTTTGTACTTAAGTCAATGGGTTTCAAATCGTATTCTTTAATGCTTCTATATTCTTATGGAAGTGACCAGAGGATAATTTGTAGGTAAAGCCCAGGTAGAAAATGTATGAATTATTTTCATTCACAACATCTCTAAAAACATTTGAGAACCACTTTAATTGACAATGTGTAGCTCTTAAAAGTTTTAGATTGAATAGTCATGAAAGTGAATTCTGGCAGTACTTTACAGGATGAGATGACTTGAAGGAATAGTAACAATGAGTTTATGCACATTACTAGGGGAAAAGAACAACTCACAACATTTTCTAAGAGGCACAACAAACACTACATCATGTATAGAGACTAGAACATGATAAACATTAACAGTGGCTATAAAAAAGGTAATATTGTGACAGAAATAAGGAGACATGAAAGGAAGATACTATTAGAGGGGAACATTATGAGTTTGTTTGTGAACTAGTTATGCTTGAAAAGATGACAGGCTACCCAAAACAGAAATGTCCAGAAGACAATCAGAGATTGAAGCTCAGTGAGAAAGCTGGTCTGGAGAATAAGCATGAAAGTATTCACTTACAGGCAATGGTTGAGGTTTTTCTAAGTCAAAGAGTATGGAAAGAGGACTGAATATTTAGGGGCTATATACAGGGAGGGAAGAGAAGAGTCAAAAAAGGAGACAGTCTAGTGCAGTGGCCCCTAATCTTTTTGGCACCAGGGACCAATTTCGTGAAAGACAATTTTTCCATGGATGGTTGGGGAGTGAGGGAGGTGAGAGGATGGTTTCAGGTTGGAATCGTTCCACCTGAGATCATCAGACATTAAGAATCAAGTTAGATTCTTGATTCTCATGAAAAGTGTGCAACCTAGACTCTTCACATGTGCAGTTCAGGATAGGGTTTGAGCTCCTATGATGATATAATGTCAGGCTGATCTAACAGGAGGTGGAGCTCAGGTGGTAATCTCACTTGCCCTCTGCTCACCTCCTGCTGGGCAGCCTGGTTCCCAACAGGCCATTGCCAGGTATGCATTCTTAGCTCATGGATAGGGGACCCATGGTCTAGTGAATGGAACCTAGCTGGTACAAATTCACAGAGAGAAGATAGGGAGAGGTAATTTTTTTCTTCATTCATATTTTAAACAATATTATTGAGTGTCTATCACATGCCAAATGTTGTGTATCAGAGAATGTTAGAGGTCTACTATAACAAATGTTTCAAGAGGAGAGAAGACTGAGGAAGGACACTGCAGAACATGTGGAATATAATTTTAGAAGAATGGTAGTGAATTAAATTAAATTGGGGGGCATAAAGGAGGAATGTATGGAGAGAGAAAAGAAAAACTTCAGCCATAGAATATTGGCAATAAATACAAATAGTGAAATAGGAGAGTAGATATAATGATATTAATAAAATACAAAATTAATTTCTCTACATTTCCCTAACAAGTATGCAATTCAATCTACCTACTTTGACAAGTACATTCTTGTTGTTGATTTAAAATCTAAAATATTTTTAAACTCACAGGTTCACATGAAACATTTTTAATGTTTTTAGCTTCATTAATATAGGACAATTCAAAATTTAAAATAAAGGAGGACATCCAGGCTCTATCCCAGTCATTTTAATATAATTTCAATTAAGATACAGGTATCTAGACTAAGTCGAAGATGGCTGCATAGAAACACCTCTGGAGTGCAGTTCCCAGCGAGAACAATGCAGAGGGTGAGTAATCACTGCATTTCCAAATGAGTTATTACTACTCACAGACCAGGAGATTCCTGGGCTGAAAAGCATCACAAGTTTCCAACATGGCTGTTTCCACTGGCACAGCGAGTTTCCACACAGAAACTCACAAAAATATGGGCAGCCGTTTCAACTGGCACCTAGAATGCCTGGAAGACAGAGCCCCCCAATCAACTGGAAAAAAGGGGACTGAAACAGGGAGCCAGGTGATCTGGCTTGGCGGGTCCCACTCACATAAAGACCAGCAATCTGAAATGCCCTGGATTAAGAGTTTCACAGCAAGCAGAGCTGGACTCGGGACAGTCCAGCTCTGACTGGAGGGGAAAGGCATCCACCATTACCAAGGCAGTCCAGCACTACCAAGGTAGTCCGTCATTACCACGGCAATCCACCATTACTGAGGCAGTCCACCATTACCGAGTCAGTTCTAACTATACCTCTGTAAACAAAGCCACAAGGAAGTTCACACAGCAGCTGGGCAGAGTGCACAGCAGCTCAGCAAGGCCTCTGCTGGAAGACTGTGACTAGGCTACCTCCTTGCAGAGCAGGATATCTCTGAAAAAAGCCAGCAGCATGTCGGGAACTTATAAATAAAGCCCCACCTTCCCAGAACAGAGCGCCTGGGGAAAAGGCAGTTATGAGTTCCACTGCAGCAGACTTAAACGTGCATGCCAAGGAGTGCTGAATGGAACAATGGAGCTCACAGCTCAGCACTTGAGCTCCTATAAGAGAAAGACTGTCTCCTCAAGCAGCTCCCCAACTCCCATATATCCAAAGAGACACCTCATAAAGGAGAGCTCAGGCTGACATCTGGTGGGTATCCGTCTGGGATGAAGATAAGAGAAAAAGAAACTGGCAGTAATCTTACTGTTCTGCAGCCACTGCAGGTGATCCCCAGGCAAACAGGATCTGGAGTAGACCTCCAGCAGTCCTACAGCAGAGGGACCTGACTGTTAGAAGGAAAACTAAAAAACAGAAAGAAGTCACTTCAACATCAACAACAACAAAAAAAGTCCACTCAAAACCCCATCTGAAAGTCACCAACTACAAAGACCACAGGTAGATAAATCAACAAGGATGAGAAGAAACCATCACAAAAAGGATGAAAGCAGCAAAAACCAGAATACATACCCTCCTCCAAGGATCACAGCTCCTCACAAGCAAGAGGAAAAAGCTGGATGGAAATGAGTCTGATGAACTGACAGAAACAGGCTTCAGAAGGTGGGTAATAACAAAATTCTCTGTGCTAAAAGAACATGTTCTAACCCAATTCAAGGAAATTAAGAACGTTGAAAAAGGTTTGATGAAATGCTAACGAGAATAAATAGCTTAAAGAAGAATATAAATGACTTAATGAGCTAAAAAGCACAACACGAGAACTTTGCAAAGCATACAGAAGCTTCTATAGCCAAATCAACCAAGCAGAAGAAAGGATATCAGAGACTGAAGATCAACTCAATGAAATGAAACGAGAAGACAAGATGCGAGAAAAAGGAGGGAGAAGAAATGAACAAAGCCTCCAAGAAATATAGGATTATGTTAAAAGACCTAATCTATGTTTGATAGTTGTACCGGAATGTGACAGAGAAAATAAATCCAAGATGGAAAATGCTCTTCAAGATATTATCCAGGAGAACTTCCCCAACCTAGCAAGGCAGGACAATATTCAAATGCAGGAAATACAGAGATCACCACAAAGATATTCCTTAAGAAGAGCAACCCCAAGGCACAAAATTATCAGATTTACCAGGGTTGAAATGAAGGAAAAAAAATGCTAAGTGCAGCCAGAGAGGAAGATCAGGTTACCCACAAAGGGAAGCCAATCAGACTCACAGCAGCTCTCTCAGCAGAAACCTGCAAGCCAGAAGAGAGTAGGGGCCAATATTCAACATGCATAAATAAAAGAACTTTCAACCTGGAATTTCATATCCAGGCAAAGTAAGCTTCATAAGCGAAGGAGAAATAAAATCTTTTATGAACAAGCAATTTCTGAGAGATTTCATCACCACCAGGCCTGCCTTACAAGAGCTCCTGAAAGAAGCACTAAACATAGAAAGTAACAACCAGTATCAGCCACTCCAAAAACATACCAAATGGAAAAGACACAAAGAATAAATTGTGTCAACTAATGGGCAAAACAACCAGCTAGCATCAAAATGGTAGGATCAAATTCACATATAACAATATTAACCTTAAATGTAAATTGGCTAAGTACCCCAATCAAAGACACAGACTGGCAAATTGGATAAAATGTTAAAACCCATCAGTGTGCTGTATCCAGGAAACCCATCTCACGTGCAAGGAAAGTATCTCATACATACTCTCAAAATAAGGGTATAGAGGAAGATTTACCAAACAAATGGAGAGAAAAAAAAGCAGGAGTTATGATACTAGTCTCTGATAAAACAGATTTTAAACTATCACAGATCAAAAGAGACAAAGAAGGGCATTACATAATGGTAAAAGGATCAACACAACAAGAAGAGCTAATGATCCTAAATATGTACGCACCCAATACAGGAACACCCAGATACATAAAATAAGGTCTTAATGACCTACAAAGCGACTTAGACTTGCACACAATAATAGTGGAAGACTTTAACACTGCACTGTCAATAATACACAGATCAACGAGACAGAAAATTAACAGGGATATCCAGGATTGAACTCAGATCTGGACCAAGCAAACCTAATAGACATATACAAAACTCTCCACCGCACATTCACAAAATATACATTCTTCTCAGCACCA